GGTAGCCCAAGTGCAAGTGCTCGCCGGCTAGTGCGCATCGGCAATCTACACATGCGCAAACTTGCGGGCAGTCGAGATCCATGACATTTCCCCCCCCCCTACGGGCAGCCTCCAGATGCCAAACTGACCTCTCCTTTGTGAGTGGTTCTGACAAAACTCGGATCAATCTGGTAGCCTGGACGTTTTGGGCTGGTCCCATGAATTTTCCTCTGGGCCATAGCCTTTCCACTTTCCATTTAATCAAGTATTGTACCTGACCTCCTCTCCTCCTGCAATCCAAGATTGCCTCCACTTCAAACTCTTCTTCTCCATCAATGTCCAAGGCCACCGGAGGTCTTGATCTGTGATCTGGGAAAGGATCTGGAGTTGCAGATTTCAACAGGGATACGTGGAACACTGGGTGTATCTGGAAAGATTCGGGCAGTGCCAATTCAAAAGCTACTTCGTTGATTTGTCGTTTTACCGGAAACGGGCCTATGAACTTGGGTGCCAACTTCTTTGATGGACATGCCAACTTCAGATTGGTCATTGCCAACCAAACCTGATCTCCTGGGTGTATGACCAAGTCCCCCTTTCTCCTCTTGTCAAATGCTCTTTTGTTATCCTCCTGGGCCTTTGTTACTGCTTCCTGTAGTAGCTTGTTGTTGGATGTGAAAAAATTCAAGGCATCTTGAGCTGCCGACACTGAGTTTTCTGGAATCAGATCCGGAAGGAAAGTAGGATGGAACCTATAGTTGGTGTAAAATGGCGATTGCTTGGTGGCGGAATGGTTTGCATTATTATAGGCGAACTCCGCTAGGGGCAGGAGTGCCAGACAGTCATCCTGAAGGTAAGAGGTATAGCACTTGAGGTACTGCTCCAACGTCTGGTTGGTCCACTCCGTCTGCCCATTTGTCTGCGGGTGGTATGCCGAGGAAAATGACAGCTTGATCTCCAGTATTTCACACAGAGCTCTCCAAAACTTTGGCTTAAATTGGACTCCTCGATCTGATACTATGTTCCTAGGAACTCTGTGGAGCCTTACTACTTCTTTGATGAAGAGCTGTGCGGTCTTGGGAGCCGGGGGTGTGTTCCTGAGCATCAGAAAGTGAGCCATCTTGGATAAGCAGTCAACCACCATGAATATTGCAGTATGGTCTTGGGAGGGTGGTAGTTCCACAATAAAATCTATAGACACCATACTCGGTAAGGGTATCGGTAAGGTATCGGTAAGGGTCGTAGTAGGCCCCAGGCCTTACTCCGTGTAGGCTTATTCCTGTTACAGATGGCACAGGTCTTGACATAACTTTCACAGTCCTTGGCCATACTTGGCCACCAAAATGTGCGCTGGATCAGCTCTAACGTTTTGCCTATTCCAAAGTGCCCTGCCAATGGATGGTCGTGACAGTAGCCCAAGACCAGGGTTCGAACCTCTTCAGGAACCACAATCTGTTCCCCCTTCCATAGCAATCCTTCTCTGCTTTGCACCGAGATTCCAGATGGATTGGGGCCCCCATAATTGCAGCTTGCAACTTGGACAGAAGTTCTGACTGTAACAGTAAAAAGTTACCTGCTGGCAGAATGGTATCAGGTTTAGGAATTTCTTTGGGGTCCTCGAACATTTGTGACAGGGCTTCGGGTTTTTGTGTTTTTGGAGCCAGGCCGGTAGGTTATGTGGAAGGTGAACCTCAAGAAAAACAGTGCCCATCTGCCGCCGCCACGATCGGCCAAGTCCCCGTGCTCGCCGGCTAGTGCGCATCAGCGATCTGCGCATGCGCAAACCCGCGGGCAGCCGAGATCCCTGACAACTTACCAGCCAGCCTGCAATACAAACAATTTGGCCCTGTCAAACAGTTTGTGTTAAAAACAGAGGGTTTTGTTTGCACACATTTGCAAATACATGCATAAGCCACAGTCCCACGTCAAGGGTCCCCTGTATACTGTGGACCTAATTAAAATTTCCAAACCTCCATAGTAGGAACACATGTATCAATGGATAGGTTAAGGGCAGGTGTCCCTCCTTAAAGGTACAGGGACACATATGACTCCCAGATATACCAAAATGACAGCAAAGGCATCCAGTGTGTCCCTGCTTACCAATTAGCCAACTACACAAAAAATGGCAGCCGTCCCAACCTATAACCAGCCTTACACATGGAAGGGCAATGCACATCACAAACAAAGGATTTCCCAGCAACACATACCAGCCAGCCTGCAACAGCCAATTTGGCCCTGTCTAACAGTTTGCATCCCTATACCTTTAAGGAGGGCACACCTGCCCTTAACCTATCCATTGATACATATGCTCCTACTATGGAGGCTTTGTAAATTTTAGTTAAGTCTACAGTATACAGAGGACCCTTGAAGTGGGACTGTGGCTTACAGTATTTGCAAATGTGTGCAAACAAAACCCTCTGCTTTTAACGCAAACTGTTAAACAGGGCCCAACTCGTTGTTTTGCAGGCTGACTGGTAAGTGTTGCTGGGAAATCCTTTGTTTGTTTGTGATGTACATTGCCCTTCCATGTGCACCTTACTTCTAAGGTTGATTATAGGTTGTGACAGTTGCCAATTTTTGTGTAGTTGGCCAATAATATATAATCTGATTATATAGCATTGAAAGCTGCTGTACACTACATATTCATTGTTCTGGACATACAGTATACAGTAGATAGTAACACCAAGTTGTTGTAGCACTCTTCTTTTTATTAATCCATCATACATAAGAAATCATGATTGTTTCAAAGTTCCAAACAAGACAATATACTGTCAACAGTTTTGGATTTAGCACCTCGATGCTTGCTCAAACCTATTGTCTGATTTTCTCTTTATCTATCTATCTATCTATCTATCTATCTATCTATCTATCTATCTATCTATCTTTCTTTCTTTCTTTCTTTCTTTCTTTCTTTCTTTCTATCTACAGTTAAAAAAGGGTTAATAGCCTAGCAATACAAGATATTGCCAACACAATGTATGACCATTGCAGGACTCAGCACACTTTAATAAGAGTGACAAACTACATCAAATCACACTTTTTGTCAAGTTTCGCATTTTAAAAGTCAAATGTTTAAATCCCTAAAAAATAAAAAAAAATCAGAGAAAATAACTCTGGTATGGAATGGTTTTGCTTGATTGAATCTATAACAATGTTTTGCCCAAAGGCTTTTAAGCATTGTTCTTGCTGGGAAAATGCAAATCACTTAAGAGAAGTGAAAAGAATTATAGCTGTGAAATACTTTCTGTCAGTCATAACATGGTCTAACTTCTCAAATACTATGTAATTTAAACTGGTGCAGCTAAAAGAGTTACAAATGACAATTTCGACTGCAGGCACTGAGATTTACAGAGACATTATTAAGCAAAGAAAATCACATACAGGTAGAATAACAAAGATCCTTTGTCTACATACAATAACAGATTAATATAAAAGAGCAGTAATAGCTTGTAGTCATTAGTAATAAAGGAATGTATGAAACTGCAGGCTATAGAGGCCATGTAGACAAGACTAACAATCAGTGCGATATTTCTAATAAGCTAGGAAACTAGCAGCGACCTATTGGCAGTATTCTACCTAAACAAGTTGGTGGTTTAAGGGAATGTTATGGTCCCGCTTATGCTTATGCTATAGTGCAGTCATGATGAAGAATCTTCTTTGGCACATAAAAAACTCTGATTATGAAACATCAGTTGGCAACCATGATGGTGAATCACTGTAGGTGGGGGTTAGGCTATTAGGAGATTATGCATGTGCTGTGCATTACAGAGCTGTGTGAAAGCAGGGGTGTTATACACAAGTAAAGCTGGGTATACACTAGTAGAATTTTGTTCAACATTTTTCATGATAAGAACATTGTGAAAACATTCATTCATTTTTCTAATCATTATTGGGGTCAAATTGATGTTCATTTTTGATTGCAGTGATGAGAAAAATCAAAGTAGCAGAATGGAAATCCTTTCTGGAATGCACACATTTCTAATAGTGTATGTTGTTTTCATTTGGCAAAGTCCATTCATTCCAATATCAAATGTAAAAGCAAATTAAATCTTTAGAACCACATTTGAATGTACTGAGAATTTTTGTATGAATCTTCCTAAGAATTTTTGTGTGAATTTTTGTTTGAAATACTAGTGTATGCCCAGTTTAAGTCTCGGAGGATCCCTCCACGCAGGCTGTAGAAGCAGTAGTCAACGTGAGCTAATAAGCTGCAGTACTCCAGTGCAGTTTTGGTTTGAAGGGCCACATTCTTCCTATTCAAAGAGAACTTCTCCCCACATATTTGCATATTTAAGGTTAAAGTATAACTAAAGGCAAAACTTTTTTTTTTTAGTTTTGGATAGAGTGTAGAGGGATTACACTCTATCCCTGCTCTCTGCAGTGGTTTTGCACAGAGAAGCCCAGATCCTTCTCTCCTGCCCCCACCGGCACTCTTGGCCCCTCCCTCCTGTCGGGTGCCCCCACAGCAAACAGCTTGCTATGGGGCACCTGCTGCTCTGTGTGTCCATTCACACACGGAGCCGCAGCTTGTCCCTGCCCCTCTTTCTTTTCATTGGCTCAATGGATGTGATTGACAGACGTAGGAGCCAATGGTAATAGAGGGGAATTTTCCAATATGGACACTAATTCTAGTGACCTGGGGAGCCCAAATGAATTCTCTTAATTTAATTCCAGAAATTTCCTCTCACTTCCTGTTTTGTCTATGGGACAGGACGTGAAGGGCAATCTCCCCAATCAGACACATACAGCAAAAAAAAAAATCTGTTTGGGGTTGTAATGCTCCCTTACTCTATGCAAAATGAAAAAAAACTTTTATCTATAATTCTACTTTAACCACCGCCCCCGCCCGCCATATAGTCCAATGACGGGCGCAAGGTGGTCCTCTTGTTCTGGGAGGATGTCAAATGACGTCCTCCCATTCTCACCGCGCATGCGCGGCTCAGGGAGCGAGCAGCGCGGCGATCGGTGGTGCACTGTGTCCCTCAGACACAGCGGATCACCGATCATGGAAAGAGCCGAAGATGTGTCCAATCACAGCTGATCACATGTAAACAGGGAAATGCTGGTTATCGGCATTTCTCTCCTCTCGAGCTGTCACGCTGACAGCTCGAGAGGAGAGGAGAGGAGTGCCGGTAATTGGCTTTCCGCGGAGGGGACATGTACACTGGTCATCAGGGCACTGATGATCAGTGTGCCCTGATGATCAGTGTAGCCCCAGCAGTGCCACCTGTCAGTATCCATCAGTGCCTTGTGTCGGTGCTCATCAGTGCCACATGCCAGTGCCCATCGGTGCCACATCAATGCCACATAGTGCCTACCAGTGCACATCAATGCCACATATCAGTGCCCATCTGAGCTGCCAATCAGTGCCACCTATCAGTGCCAGTCAGTGCCTCCTATCACTGCCAGTCAGTGCTGCCTATCAGTGCACATCAGTGCCGCCTATCAGTGACGTGTCAATGCCACCTAACAATGCCAGTCAGTGCCGCCTATCAGTGCCAGTCAGTGCCGCCTATCAGTGCTGCCTATCAGTGCCATATATCAGTGCCATGTATCAGTGCTGCCTTTCAGTGCCCATCAGTGATGCCTGCCAATGCCCATCAGTGCCACCTACCAGTGCCTCCTCATCAGTGCCCATCAGTGCCACCTATCAGTGTCCATCAGTGCAGCCTATCAGTGCCCACCACTGCAGCCTCATTAGAGCATATCAGTGAAGGAGAAAAATCACTTATTTACAAAATGTTATAACAAAAACTAAGAAAAAACTTTTTTTTTCCCAAAATTTTTAGTGGTTTTTGGTTAGTTTAAGAAAAAATAAAAAAAAACCCAGAGGTAACTACTACCAAAAGAAAGCTCTATCTGTCACAAAAAAATGATAAAAATGTAATATGGGTACAGTGTTGTATGACCACGCAATTGTCATTCAAAGTGCGACAGCGCTGAAAGCTGGAAATTGGCCTGGGCAGGAAGGGGGTATAAGTGCCCTGTAGGCAAGTGGTTAAGTTTATCGTTAACCTACAGGAGATAGGTTAAGCATAAGAGTTAGGGGTAGGAGCTGAGGCGTTAAAGCACTTCAGGAAATATGGTAAGTGTTTGGGGTATACCTAGTGTAAGATTTAAGTGTTAGAATTAGGTTAAGGGTTAAAAATTAAGTGTAAAGGCATAAGTTAAGGGTTTGGTATTGTGGATGGTTAAGAGTGGTAAGATTCAGCATGGTGGGAAGGGTTAAGTGAAAAGGGTTGTTTATGGTTTTAGGACAATTAGATGGGTTTAAGAGATTTATTTTATTTTCATGCTAAAAAAATATCAGCCCCACTCTTTTGTTAACAAGCATTACTAATTACTTTTCTACAAATTATATTTGATAGGAGCATGCTCTTGAGATTTTTGCCTTTGGCTTATCAGTGTCTTGAAAAAGCCATGGGAACCGGAACATAAAGGGCACATACCCTGGGACCAATGTTATTATGTAGACGGGGGGTTCACTGGGAGCTTGTAGTTTCCCAGCTACCTTGAAAAGCAGCAGTGGCTTTGATAGCTGCTGGAGGAATTATTCTGCTCTTCATCCTTTCAATAGCAGCCTACTGTGGGCAGAAGAGAGGAGAACACCTGCGGATAACATATCTCTTTCTCAGTAGAGGTGCCTCTCTCACTGATACAGCTACTCTGCCTCCCGCATTTCTGCACAGCCTTGTGGCACTCTAACACCTCTGACCTGCACCAAATCTCTGGTGCAGCATTTAAACCTGGCCAGGAGGGAAGACAGCTGCCTCTCCAGGTTGGACCAACAGACAGACAGCCAGGCAAGCAGTTGCAGGCTGTATAGGGTTAATGCTGCTGTGAAACTGGGTTGGACTAGCAGACAAGGCTATTGAAGGCCAACTATCTAGGAATTGGGCTTTTTTTAGTTAAACACATCCATGAGCCGCAACCCCTTCCCAGCAACAACCCAATTTCCCTTCCTTTCTATGTCCCATTGACACAAATGCGATATAAGTTCTACTAAGACTCACAGGGGCATTTTTTCTTATGGAGACACCACTGATGCAGGGACAGTTTTTCCTTATGGAGACACCATCAACACAGGGGAATTTCTTTTCTTTATAGTTACAACACAATGCAAGCACATTTTTCCCTCAAACCAGTGTGGGGGATTTCTTCCTTCGCCATTGTTAACCCCATGTTTTTATGCAAAACAGAATTTGCACTGCTAATAAACTCTGAAAAAGAGGTAAATTGCAGCATGTCTTGTCTTGTCAAATGCTGCATTTTCATTCACTTATCTCTGTTTGAGCAGTGCTGTGTTCAAATTGTGGAGCTGTGTTTAAGTATGTTTAATGCTCCCTTTTGTATGTGAGGTCTGGCACAAATACCACTGGGGCAATATTAGTACTGTAGAAAAAACAGGGGAATGTAAGGGAGTGTTGGACAACACTTTCTTTTATTATTTAAATACAGATACACTTTAAATTATAATTCCATCTCTCTGATATATTTAATACTCAAACTCATAACGTAAAGCCTTCATCCTGAAATGTTGTAGTTAGGAAGACTTTTGAAATACCTGTTATATAGAATTCAAAGCTTGTCCACTGAATATTAGGGACTGTAATCACAGCAAGTGGGAATTCACCAACAGATTGCTAGTAAATGCAAGAAAGTAAGTCACCTGCTTACTATGTGTTGCTTCCTCACTGGCCTCAGCAGTGAGCTGTCACTCCCTATCTACCCAAAAGGCTTCAAAATGTAAATTGCATGTGAGATAGTAACATCTTGCTCATTCTGCCAGTTAGGGAAGGACACATGTAAGTAGGTGAGTATTTCACCTCTTTACCATGTCCTGCATGGCAATCCTGCCTTTGGCAAGAACTCGTGCGACACTGACCTAAAGGCTTAGAGGCTGTTCACTTAACAATGTGAACTCAGCACTAGTTTAGATCTTAAAACAAACCATAGCTTTAGTAATGCATGCCCTTTGCCCTTTGAGTTTGGGAAAGGACATAGGGGCCCCATGATCCCCTATTGCCCGGGGGCCCCATGAGTTGTGTTGTCAGTCCGCCCCTGCTTCCAGGTATAGAGTAACATGAGACTTACTCCTTGATTGAACTTGCATTTGGTGATTGGCACAGCTCTGAGTCAGAGAGAGTTGGGGGGAGAGGACTCTGTCATTCATTCCCCCTTCCCTACTCACACAAGTGGTCTCTTTTCAGTAGAGGAGAGGGGAGTAGGGAGTGGGCTGCTGTTGTGAGCTTCTGAAATGCATTGCAATGTTGAACCCAAATCGATTCACTACCATAGCATGAGAAGGTCAGAGCTGGGAAGAGGACTGGGCATCACAAGACAGAAGATTTATTCAGGAATCATCAACCTTCAGGACATGTGGTAACAGATATTTCACTACAGGTAAGTTATGTGCAGGAGTAGGTAAAAAATGAATTAAGATGCAGCTTTAAACATGGCCTTTTCCTACTAGCTGCAAGGCACAGCATGGAGTTTATTTACTGGTATACTGTAATTAAGGTTTTGGTCACAGGATTTCCAGCTCTGTATCAAAGCCATAGCTTTCATAAATAAATACCACTCTGTTACTTTCTCAGAAAGTTTAAAGCACAATGATTTATCATTACAAAAGTTATTCATCATTCCAAAATTTAATTTAGGGCTTAGTGTGCTCCAGTCATTTCATGCTGTGTTGCAACCGGTCAAATTCTATTCACTCCTAAAGCCATATGCAAAGTACCATTGGATCAATCTATACTGAGATAATTTGAGTAGACTCATTACCTGCAGGTGAGGGATAACAAGAAGATTTAAGTGACAATGGTGATTAAAATTAGTTTCTGTCGTTATTGTTTGTTTTATCATGTGCATTTTTTTTAGGCTTTTTGTTGCTAAAATGACATTTTTCAAATCAGATGACATATTTAAGGTTAGGTTCTGATTCAATTTGTAACAGGAAAGCCCCTGCTTCTAAAGAACATTTTAATTATTTATTGAGCTGTTTCTTAATTATAGAAATGATAAAATATTAAGTGTGACCTTTAGTTTTTGCTTACAAATTTAATTTTGCACCTTAGCAATTAAATACAAGCGGTCAATTTTTCATATGTAATTTTAGGCATGTTTTTTTCAAATGAAAAGTCTCATTTTTTAACTGTGTCTCTGTGCTAAAGGATGCACAAAATACTTGTTAACATCTCTATTGTCTCTTTTTAGTTTTCTCACTCAATGGGCTTGATTTACTAAAGGAATCGCAGCTTCTCACCTAGCAAAGTTAAAGCGATTCTAAAGGTTAGTTTTTTTATTTTTTGGAAAATAACAAACATGTCTATACTTACCTTTGTGTGCAGTGGTTTTGCACAGAGCAGCCCGATCCTCCTCTTCTCAGGTCCCACATAGGCTTCCTGGCCCCTCCCTTCTATCGGGTGCCCCCACAGCAGGCAGCTTGCTATGGGGGTACCTACTGCTTTCCGTGTGTCCATTCACACATGGAGCTGTGGCTTAGCCATGCTCCCTCTCTCTCCTTGTTGGCTAACTGGTTGTGCTTGATAGCAGCGGGAGCCAATGGTTCTTGCTTGCTGTCTCAGCCAATGAAGAGGCAGAGACCCAGGACAGCTGAGGTTTTTGTTCACATCGCTGGATCACAATGAGGCTCAGGTAAGTATTGAGGGGGCTGGGGACACTGATGCACACAGAAGGTTTTTTACCTTCATGCATGGAATGTATGAAGGTAAAAAATCTTGAGCTTTTTTTACAACCACTTTAAGGTACAATAGGTATAGAAAAAATCACATTTTTCAAATAATTACATTTTATTGCTTTACAGCCTGAAATGAAGACAGACACAGTTTTGTTTTATCCAGCTGTATTTACTCAGTGCAACTTATAAAATCCAAGTGAAAGATATAACACCAACATGTCAGAAAAAAATAATAAAAATTCAAAAACAGAACCGGTCAAGTTGGAAAAAGGATCACCCCCTTGTGTCTGTATTTTGTTTCAACCGCCTATTGCTTTAATTACAGCCTTTAGTCTGTTGGGATATGTCTCTAAAACTTTTAACATATCTATTGTCTCTTTGCAATATTTGCCCACTCTTGGGCTTTGCAGAACTGCTTAAGTGCAGTTCTCACCAATAAATAAATAATTTGCGCTAGTAAATGTGTATAAATATATAAATATATATATAGAAATCATCAAATCATAAGTCCAGAAAAAAAAAATATCCTATATGCCAATCCCACAAAAAAATCCTAAAAAAACTTTTATCGTGCAAAAAGGCAGCTTTTGTGCAAAAAAAGTGTCTAAATATGAAAAATTTCACCAAAAAACCTTGATAATATAATGGCAGATCATCCTAAATATCTCTTCAGAAAACGGAAACTCTGCAACACAGCCAATCCTCATCGATCGAAATAACAGGATGAAAAACTTTGTAGTTAATCGAAAATCCACTTCTCCAAAAGATAAAGGACCACCTTCAAACGTATCCATGGGGGGAAATGCCAAGGGACACTGAGAGAAACAGAAAGACCTTCATGGTGCAATATATAAGGTAAAAAAATTCTTTATTTAGGTACTCATTG